CCCAACTAGGGAACATCATCAGTGCTAGAAGGGAGGAGGAGGAGAAGGACTGTGGGGTCCTTGGTGCTCTCTGAGCTGGGTGGTTTTCTTGCAGACGTTTCGTGACCCAACTAGGTAACATTATCAGTGCTAGAAGGGAGAGGAGTTTGGAGGAAGGAAGGAAGAAAAAGAAAGAAAGAAAGAAAGAAAGAAAGAAAGAAAGAAAGAAAGAAAGAAAGAGAAAGAAAAGAAATGGACTGTGGGGTCCTTGGTGCTCTCTGAGCTGGGCGGTTTTCTTGCAGATGTTTCATGACCCAACTAGGGAACACCATCAGTGCTAGGGGAGAGGGGGGGTTGCAAAGAGGAGGAGGAAGGACTGGGGGGTCCTTGATGCTCTCTGAGCTTGGCTGTTTTCTTGCCATTTCATGACCCAGCTAGATAACATCATCAGCGCTCATGAATATGGTTAAGAATAGATTGCTAGAAATAGAAATATTATAACTAGATAGATTGGTAATCAGAATTTCGTATTTTGGCATGAAAAGGGAAATAAGAAAACGCTAAGAAGTTTGAATAAGGGAAGCTTTGTGTTGCCCAAATATAACTTGTTTTGAAACTGTCAACGATTGGGATATTTTGAATACGGGTGGGAAATTAAAACAACAAAAAAAAAAAAGCGAAAATGGGATACTGACAGAATAAATGGATGTTGAGTGCAAATGCAATTAAGATAGAAAAGATATTTTAAACTGATATTATTAGAAATCTGTAATATATGCTGATATTCAACTGTGTATCTTATTAGTAACAATAAGAATTGTGTTTGCTTAATGTGGAAAAATGTTTTATTACTAGAAGAAGAGAAGCGTTATCGGAGGGTGTAATATTGAATTGAGTTTGAAGAAGCTTATATGTACCCCAGAATTATTAATGGACCCAGTCAACACGTTGACTGTTAAGCGCTGGTTTGTAAAAATAGAAAATTAGTAAAATATTTATAAAAAAATAAAGACGAGCCAGTTGCCAAGTGGCTGATTTATTTTTTTTCCTAATATTTTATCAATTTTACATTTGAGTATTTAAAAAGCAACGTGACTAGATTAATCGATAGTTTGATAACAAAATCTTTAGTGCAAATCTCAGGTTACAACATCTGGAACGAACTACCCCCAGAGATCCGGGTGATTCCGGATCTCCCCTCCTTCCGCCGCGCCCTCAAGACATGGCTATTTCAGCTGGCAGGACTGGCCCAGCAACATTCCTAGGGCCTACCTCAAGGACGGGACAAGGAACCCCGAGAGGAGGCATGCAGGGGCCAGGGATAAAAAATCGTTGAAATTATGCAAATTAAGAAGGTTTTTACAGGGGTGTTTTAGCAAATTTTTAGGGGGAATTAGGGTGGGGGGGGGG